CAGACCATTCTGTGTATGACATCAAAGTACAGCGAGAGCGATTAGACAGCATTTTATAATTTTTGTTTTGATGTCAAATAAGTCTTGCTGTTTTGCTTTTTTGTTAAAGCAGTGTTGCTATTGTAAAGCTGTGAATTATACATCAGTTGTGTTGATGTGTGAGATCACTACCATGTTGTTTTTTTGGGGAGTGGGTAGGGGTATTAACATATTTATATATATATTTTACATTATTTTTTTGTCAACTCACTCGTTTCATTTCTAAAGGTTTATAACATTCTAAAAGCTCTTAATTCCAAAGAGACTGCAAGCTAGTCAGTGTATTCAGTAGGTGTAATGTATTGTAAGTTGCTTCAGAGGTATTGCAAGTATTACGTACAACAATAAAAAATATGTGCATTGACATAAAAAAGGAAATTTACTTTTGGTACTTAAGTACTTTTAAAAGCAAGTACTTCTGTACTTTTACTTAAGTAAAAATCTGTCTTTACAACTTTTACTTGTAATGGAGTAATGTTTGACCAGCAGTATCTGTACTTTCACTCAAGTAATGGAGTTGAGTACTTTGTCCGCCTCTGCAAACAGTATATTAATGCATTATGCTTCAGTATAACAAGTAATGGAGTAGCTCTAAAGGGACAGTGATGCGCTTACACAGTTATTGATGTAGTAAGTAGCATTTTTTTTAATATCAACATTTTAGAAAAATACATTTGTAACAATATACTTTGTGTTATATTACCTTGGCATTGATTTACAAAAATTGTTTATGTGCGGGTTTCTAAAACAAATGCGCTCAGGGGGTGATGGCAGATTTGACATCTTTGTAAGCCATGGAAACACTATTGTAGATTTTTATTTAAATTTGCATATTTTTGGGAATGCAAAAATTATAATTCTTGTAATCTCCCGTTCACTTCACTATATAAGTTTACCCAACTATGATGGCTTCCACTTCTGAGAATCATAAAAATGTAAGTTGTTTGTTTTTTTGGCATACATTTTTTTTTAGATCAAAAGTAGTTTTTTTTTTTTTCTTTTGCTTTGCCTTTACAGAAACCACAGGCAGTCAAGAGCCTGCTTTTAATCTGTGACTATATTGGGCAACGACAAAAGTATTTCTCACGCCAGCAAAAAAGAGTCACCAAGTTAAAGACTCACTGAGTTTAATGGGCAGGCACAAGGCCATTGTTGCTGAGGATGTCATGTTTCTCTGTGGAGAAAGTGGTGAAAATGTATAGTGATGTATACAGTATGTGG